CATATTTGCACTCTAAACAGTGTGCCGAACAGAATGTTCTTACATTTAAATTTCTCTTCATGAAGGTATTTTTGTCACACTGACAAACCTGTACCCCATGTATATCTGTTTCAGAAGAGAGGAGAGAGGTTCCCCCCTCCCAATAAGCAAAGCCCGAGGGCCCATGAAGTACATCTGTGTCAGCAAAACAGAGACAAAGCTATTCCCTCCACACAGCAAGGAGAGATTAAAACATTGGGTAGGGGTATTCTCAACTCTACATATTGGGTGCAGAGCTGAAACTAAGCTCCGGGTGGAATGCATCTGTTCACAGGAGACCAAAAACACACACACGGAAGCTGAAATGTGCTTGTAAATACATTAATTTTGAAACCTGACGAAAGCACATTTTAAAATTGCATTTCTCGCGTGCACACAAATCAGCAGCAGGAGAAAACAGCTCAACAGTTGTTTAAGTGCCACAAGTGAAATCTGCTTTTGTTGAGCTTCTAACATACATGTAAACCTGAGTCAGCAGAGGTGTGCTGCAGTTTTTGTGGACATAAGGCACCACTAAAACTTCTGTGTGTGCTTAATAGCCATGTATTATAACAGGACACATTTGGTAGGATGGGATGGGGGTGATGTTAGCTGACGTACAACCGAAGATTTCCATGCTGTCAGCTTGCCAGAGACCATCTGCTGCTCAGAAAACATGCTGTTATGATTTTAGTTCCTTGGGGGAAATGTAAGGGAAAAGAAAACAAGGATGTGGTGCCCTTTAAAAGGATTTCCTCTCCTCCACCTGTTCTGGGTGTTAAATTTCTGATAAATGTGATGTCAAAGGGGCTCTGCCCCACAAAACTATCCCACCCAAACCAGAAGATGTTTAGTACTCTAGTAGTGTGTCCTTTCAGGCAAGTCACCCTTCTCTTTGCCTCCACGCTGTCCACAGACACGCCCCTCTCCTTTCTGTGACTGATAGCCTGGTGCCTCAGAGACAGCAAACCGTGAGGCAGCTCCTCAGCTGTTTAATCAGCGGTTGTGGAGAGGTAAAATGGCAATGTTGTGGGTTGGCCACACTTCACAAATGATGTATCTAGCACCAGGTGAACTAAGCTTGTAGGGGAGGAATTATTGGTAAAGCGAGTGCAACTGCCAGAAAACTTTCATTGAGCAAGTAGGCATCTTAAGGGCAAATTACTTGTGATTTACAAGGGCAGCAAATGAAAGTTGGTGGGAAACTTAGCAATGAGGGTCATGGGCACCTGATCGCTTTAAGAAATTAAAAGGGGGGGGACTTCTGCAAATGTGTATGTCACACACGCTGAATACATAGGCAAAATGTATGGCTTCCATGCCATCACATTGGTTACACAACAGCATCTCTCAAAGTCACCTAGCAAATTAAAAGGGCAAGTTAGCTCTCCTATGAGATTAGCAAGGTTCCAACGAATTTTCCAATTATGCATGAGTAACCAAAAAAAAGGGGGGGGCAATTGAAGGAATTTTTTTTTTTCATAGGCAGCTTCTTACTTCCCTTGAATGTGAGAGGGTGAGATCTCTACCTGCTGTATCTGTTGGGATACTGCCAGGGAGACAGAGGCCATCATGGTTCCACGTCGTCTCCGGACAATCCATCGATCTCCCATAGATACAGTATCAGTCAATTAGCAACACAAAGCCTCAGAAATAGCTTGCCACATTCCAGAGCTCGTGCACGCTCTATCAGCAGAGTTCGCACAACGAAAGGCGCACTCAGGAGAGCATTATTTACAACTTTATTCAGCGTTGATCAGAACAAAGAAAAAACATGACTGCCTGCTTCGATGTCTCAGGCACAGAGAGAGAACGAAAGCAATAGACAAAACATAAACTTCCTGTGAACAGGAAATACGCAGACTCTGTGACTCACAAAGCCTGCTCCCTTTTAAGGTGGAATGGAAACATCCTAACAGTATCATGCTATATTGATATGCTGATCTTAAAACTGTTTTCTGCTTATGCTTAGAGGAATGAGATTTTGCCACATAATGAGCAATGGCATTGCTCATTGCTAAATGTACCTAAGAAAATTAGAAAGAAGTGGTGCCATGAACACAAGAGATCTGGGGAAGAGGGCAGGACTAGAAAGATACCCCCAAGAGCATTACTGTGATTGCAATAATATTATTGTATACCTGGAAACACGTGTCAAGAACAGGATGGGGACACTCCACAGATCTTCAAGCCAGAATGAAGAACTGAAATGACCATGCTAAGAGGAATGTTAGGACACAGGAGGATGAGTATGACAGTTGTGGTCTCCTAGGTACCTATTTATGAGGGGAAATCAATCTGAGTTGAAGTCCATCATCATCTGGCTCTCCCCGCCCCGTGGGTGGCTGGCCCCGCCTCCATGGGCAGTTGGCTCCGCCCCTGGGTGCAGGGCACACACACCGCCCCAGGCGCCAGATCAGCTTGCTCCACCTCTGGCTCCATAGCTGCACACACTCACAACGTGTATGTTAAGTTGGGGAGTCACTGTTGTGTCTGTCAGGTTGCTATGCTTCAAAATGAACAGGAAAGTGTTCGGGAGGATGATTGGTGGTGGGGCATCTCAGAAGGTCCCAGGCTGAATCCCTGGCATCTCCTGGGACAGTTGGAAAAGATTCCCTGCCCAAAACTATGACGAGCTGCTGCTGGTCAGTGTAGACAGTACTGAGTTAGATGGACCAATGGTATGAATCAGTACAAGACAGCTTCATGTGTTCCTATGTTGCTAAAAGCAATGGTGTCCTAACATGGAATCATCATCCTGCAGGCAGATCTCCCTTCCTGCTCAACAGGCTCCCGGATTAGGCTGGGTGGCTGCTGTTGTTCATATGGCAGACTATAAACCAAATGTATGTTGGAGGCTTTCCATGTGGACCAACCTGCAACGGGGATACACTGTTTGCTGCGTAGTGTGATAAAAGAAAGCACATGAAATAACGTGTCAATTTTTTCTCCTCCAAAACCCCTTTCTCTGGTGCGCAGGAGGCACCTTGAGAAGCAGCGCAAATGGTCCCTTTCTAAATGTAGCCATTCAATAACATGTAGGACACCATTCAGCTCATTTGCTCAGTTGTTTACAAGTTTCCGCTCACATTTAGCAAGCGCACATCCACCCTTAAACGCATGAGCCGTACATGTTGAGATCAACAGCTTCTCTCATGCTTCACGCTGCTCGTGTTTATAGGTACACTGCTCAGCTGCAGTCTTAGAAGCACAATCACTGGAAGCCCAATTACTCATTACTTCCATCGCATGCTTGAGTTGAGGAAGTGTTAAATGAGAACCCTGCTGTAGAAGAGTAAGCAGCTCTCGAGAAAGAGCTCTCCCTAAGAAACCCCAATTGACAATTACATGAATTATTATGGGCCAATAATGGACCATTGAGCAGACAGCAGTAAATTAACGGTGGACACAATCCAGAGGAAAGACTCATTAATTTGTATTGATGGAATTCAAGCACTTCACTAGGGCTGCTTAACCAGACTGTCGCTATTTTGCAGGTGGGTTTCAATCGCATACTAGCAACGCTGCTCCCACACTTGAGCGGCGGCCAATTTGCCACATCCTGATTCCTCTGGGAAAGGAGACTCAGACAGGGTCTCTCCTGGTGATGGGCCATATGGAAACATGGGCTAATTGTGGGAGTGGTAGGCTTACATTCACAGAATGTACTCATCTGATGTCCTAAGTCTTTCATGCTTCTTATCAATATACTTTCTGTTGAATTACCATCACTGTATAGGTGTAACAATCTAGGTGCAACAGTAGCTTCTTCATCCGTGCCAATCCTGCTCCTTGTGTGGAAGCACAGAAAAATAGCATGGAGATCACTTCTCTCCCCCCACTATAATATGTGGACTGTGAATTATGAATACTCAGAATTAGCATGCTGGTCACCTGCCATAACACATACTAAGTAGAATAATAGAAGCATAACCACCCCACCCGCCACTCCCCCCTCCCCCCTTTTCCTTCTTCTTCTTCCTAATTGTTTAAACCAATTGATAAACCAAGAACTCATACATTGACCAGTAGTAATGAAACATATGTTGTAGATATTTTTCCACATTTATTATGCTATTTTCGTGAAATAAAAATGACATGAGAAAACTTGGTATACTTATCTGTATAACATCATTCTTGTTTATAAAACCCAATAAAATAAAATAAAAAACCACATCAACACACAGCAAAGTCAGCATCAGGAAGGAACCTTAAGCCAGAGCTACACATTACACAATCATCTTGTAGAGTTGGAAGGGACCCTGAGAGCCATCTAGTCCAAACCAAATGCAGGAATCTCAACTAAATCATGCATGACAGATGGTACTGATATCTTGATGGCTACTTCTTCTCTGCAAGGTGACGTCTGGAGCGGCAATTTGCAGAGGTGAAATAGTGGGTGGAAAGATTGCTTAACTTTTCCTGGAATCTTTGCTCTGCCTTTGCAACTACCACCTCCAGCTGCCTTTCTCTCCCAGGCAGATTTCCAGTTGTGGGTTGTGATCATGGAGAAGGCATCTGGATTTGGAAGTAAGTTGAGATTGCGAAAGAGGTCAAAAGCTGCTTCCCATGCCTCTCTCTTCTCTACTGAAAATTACTCCCTCCCACTGCTATTTCACAGCGAAAATATATTGCTGTTTGGAGTTTTTGTACAAATGTACTGCTTGCCATAGTCATGGGATCTGCATGTCTTTTTAAAAAAAACCTTCACTAATTCTTAATTACCTATGCTTTCTTCTCATCTTGCTCCAAGAAAGTCTGAAAGCACAACCCTGTATCTACTAAGAAGGATGGAGTTCAATGGGACTTTATTCCCAGGTAAACTTACATAGAATTGCAGCCTGATCTTTCTCCAGAATGTACAGTACTAATGTTCAATAGTTTCAGGTTGCTAATCTCCCCATGTGAAAGATGGTAATGACAATTTCACACCTGGATTTTCTGGGTTTATTCTTTGGATTTCCAAGGTGGCCCACTGAGCTGGGACTGTGGCTCAGTGGTAAAACATGTGCTTTGCATGCAGAAGGTCCCAGGTTCAAAATCCCCGGCATCTCCTGGTAGGGCTGCAAATATCTCTTATTTGAAACCCTGGGGAAGTGCTGCCACTGAGTGCAGACAGTCCTGAGCTAGAAAGGCCAATGGTCCAAGTTGATATAAGAGAGTTTCCCATGTCCCTATGTACCTATGACTTGCCTGTGATCTGGCACATATTAAAGATGGGGCAACAAACGCCAGAGAAAAGCTGACATTTCAAACAAGTTATGAAACCAGGCTGGTGATTATACATTAAATTAGAAAATTGCATATCTACACAGCAGACGTAACTTCAAAGTTCTGGATGAAAATGGTTTCTTATTAGCATTTAAGGGGGGGGGATTATCCCGTATTATCACAGTCAGGGGCTGAAACCAAAGTCTTTTAATAAGCACCTAGTCACTGCAGGTCAGGCTCCTAACAGTGTCCTTAATTGGAATATAGTAAGCCTTACAGATGAAAAGACTACAGATGGAGAGAGTCACATTTTTGCTCCTTCTGTCACATTAGCCAAAGCACTGGAAAATGAAGGAATCTTCCTCTGAATTCCAGTATGGTTTTGTTTAGTTTCCAAACACACAAAGTAAAAGTACCTGAGGCAGGAATAGCCCTGCCTAAAGGTAAATAAAGGCTGGTCAGTCCATTGGGGACTGAATGTGCAAACTGTTAGCATTCATTACCTTTAGAAAAGCTAGCTTTCCCCTGGTATTCTCTAGCAAGGCTGGGACCAAGACATTTTGCCGCCTGAGGGGAAGCAGCAAATGATGCTCCTTCTCCCTACACTGAAAGTGCTTAAGGCCCAAGGATGATACAATTACAGTGCTGAGGGGAGACAATGCCACAAGCACCTCCCACCCCATTGCATTGCAACAATGCAAAGAACGATTTAACCATTTGCTGCCCTTTCATAGCACTCAAAATCAGCCACCTGAGATAGCCTCTTCAATCCGCCTAACAGCAGGACCAGTCCAGAGTCTTGGCACATTTCCTCATGTGAGCTTTGCCATTATGATTCTTTGTAAATGCTCCTGCTACTCATCCAGTTTTGTGCATTATTGGAGCACTTGGGATTTCTCTCGGACTGCTCTGTACAATGAGGTAAGTGAATATCAGTTCAAAAGTGATCTCCTTTCACATGAGGGGGGGTGACCATCAAGTATCATCACTCAATGATTCTTACCAGTTGCAATTCTTACCACCCACATCTTCCCAAGCAGAAATTCTGACCAACCATGAGAAAGGGCCATAGCTCAGCAGTAGAGTTTGCATGCAGAAGGTCCCAGATTCATTCACTGGTATCTACAGGTAGGGCTGGGAGATACTCCTGTCTTAAGCCCTGTAAAGCCACTGTCAGTCAATGTAAAAGGTAAAGGGACCCCTGACCATTAGGTCCAGTTGTGGCCGACTCTGGGGTTGCAGCGCTCATCTCGCTTTATTGGCCGAGGAAGCCAGCGTACAGCTTCCGGGTCATGTGGCCAGCATGACTAAGCTGCTTCTGGCGAACCAGAGCAGCGCACGGAAACACCGTTTACTTTCCCGCCGGAGCAGTACCTATTTATCTACTTGCACGTTGACGTGCTTTTGAATTGCTAGGTTGGCAGGAGCAGGGACCGAGCAACGGGAGCTCACCCCATCATGGGGATTAGAACCGCCGACCTTCTAATCGGCAAGCCCTAGGCTCTGTGGTTTAACCCACAGCGCCACACGCATCCCCGTCAGTCAATGTACATTGTAGACAATACTGAGCAATATAGACCAATGGTTTGACTCAGTATAAGGTAGCTTCCAATGTTCCTGTGTTCCCTCATCCACTCAAGTGCTACTTTCCCTCCCTGCTCACCCCACACTCCAACCCACAAAAGAAAGAAGATATGTCAAAAGCACGGGCTTGGCACATTACCACATTGTCAGTATGCCTCTCGTGAAGTGTTATTGTTTCTTAATTGGGAGGCTTTGGACTGCATCCAATGAACTACCATTAAATTGTTTCCTGAGAACTGCTTCCTGAGAACATTATTCATAACGCGCAGAAAAGTGCCAACCTGATTCTCCATTTTCTTCCCAGATGGCAGCTGCTCTTCTAATGGAGCTGGCGCTGCACATCACTGTGTTTATTTCTGTTGAACTGAAAAGCAGATCTCCTAAGCTCTTGTGATGCTTCAAAATATCATATCCGAATGTCTAGTTATGCAGATTGTGTCCTAAGACTTTTCATTGTCAGATTCTTGGCATTAGCATGTAATAGAAAGGAATCATCTGTCCTGGGGGGGGGGGGGCAGATGACAGACTAACTGTAACGTCAATGCATATGGCCTGCTTTCTTCAAAAAAAGAACTACTCATAGCAGTTTCTTAGTCCTGGTAAGAAAATAATCCCATCTTGCATTGAATGGTCACACAAAAAAATGACCTACAGATTAAAGAGGTGTCAACTAGAACAGAGGTAGCCCTTCAAGGACAGTCAGGAATTATGGGAGTTGTGGTTCACATCATCTGAAGATCACCACACTGGTTTATTCTTTTAGCTCAGGGATAGCCAAACACATCCCTCTAGAAGCTATTCAAAAAAGAACATAAGAGAGGTCTTCCAGTCACCAGTAACAGTCATACAGCGCTGTCTTTAGCATATGCGCCACCGGGGTACAAAGATCCGCCCAGCGCCTCCAAATTTAGTTTAGCCCCCAAATTAACACCACCACACTTAAACTTGTAAGTATTGTTTAGGCACCTACTTAGGAGAAACATCAGTCGTGTCAAAGGTGCCACTGACCCCGCTGCTGCATAGCAGCTCAATACAAAACATAACATAATATTTTGATGTAAGAGTTAATTTTGCGTGCACTGCACCATTGAGAATGACAAGTGCCACTGGTGGCACAGCGTGTCTTTGGTAAATGAGCGCACAAACTTGAAAGTCGTTTAGTGAAAGAGTAGGTATACATTTTGGTAATACCTAGGTATATATGTATTCTGTTTTTCTAGCTTGATCAAAATTATTTATTATTTCATAACAGGTAGATAGTTAAGGGCTTAGGCATCTTCAGCGGCAGGCACCAGGCGCCCCCAGAATTCACCGCCCGAGTGCCCTGCACCCCTTGCAGCCCCGGGTAAAGATGGCCCTGTAGTCATACTTAGTCCAGAGGTCTATTTCATTGTTTCTAACAACAGATATTCAACGAGTAGAAGTTCTACCGAGTAGAACCAATGCTGAGCAGGTGCTTCTGAGGCAGAATCGTGTTTACAATAGAAAATGAACATAATTGCACACCTTCTTCAAATGGTGTCCTAGCTAGATGACATTTCCCAAACCCTACCCAGTTTCCAGCCTTTGCCTTGTGCCTTCTTGCCTAGTAACAAAAGGTATTCATTCCATATCTCATTCCTTTTCTATGTTAAGGGAAATCCTTTTGATTTCCAAACAGGCCTTTACATAAAATGGCTGCCTACCATGCAGACTCAGGCATCCCTGACACAAATGTATTCCAACATTAATTTTCGCAACAACACAAAAACTATGCTCTATTTGATTCTCTTTTGAAATTGCAGCATAATCAGCCTAGATTTTTTTTATCAGTTGACAGCCACAGATTTGCATAATAATAGTCTCCCCACATTAATAATTCTGGATCATAATAGAATCATTACCTGAGCCCTCAGATGGGCAGTTCTGAAATGCTCTGTCGCTGTAATCTCACACTGTTAAAGCATTGTAACCACGGTGTAATAGGATTCCCAAGCATTTGCATCCAAATTAGCCTCATAAAAAACCCGCCATTCATCAGGGCATTAACATCTCTGTAGACTTCCATGAAATACCGCTGCCCCTGGTAGCCAACACCAAAGCAATTTTCTAATTTTGTTGCTTCACAATGGAGTTCATTTTCTATCAAAAGTGTCTGCCATCATCTTACCCATAGCTCTGCATAAGGTGGTGGGAAAGTAATGATGTCTCTGACTCAAGGGGACTAGCAACTTCAGATGAAGGAAATGTACGAGCTCACTTTGGCACGAACCCTGCTCGTTGTAATTTCAGCTTCAAAATCCAGCATGGCTTCTTTCTGCCATCTGTTTTGCCACACGCCCTACAATAACCAACCAATTTGTTTTAAAAGAACACATCTGTGTGATGTTTGGGTCAAAAGAGTGGATAAAAATAATTTTCAATTTTTAAAGAAGTTTATGAGTGGAATATAACCATATTTCCTAACGCCATGGTTCCAAGTGGATAAAAACACAAGATCCTGAATACTTTATGATGGCATCTGGAACAGCACCCAAAATGGCATATGGGGAATGTCTTAAGGGCTGCACTTTGATGGAGATCACCCAATTAGAGAATTTCACAAGTTGAAAGCACATGTCTGAAAAACTAGGCTGCTTTCCTTTCACAAAATTAAATTTGCTGCAAAATAGAGGCTTAATCAGAGGCTAACAGACTCTGGACAAAATCCTCAAGCTTCTGTGACTGTCCATTCATATTCCAAGTGATGGAGGAGAAAGGTAGTACAGCATCAGCTCCAGATTCTGGAACACCCTCAGGCAAGATACCTTCCATCGACCCTCCTCCATCACCAAGACAAGTCCAGGGAGCTTCTGGCAGTGAGCTCCCTGGTGGAATATGGGCACTCAGCTGGTGCCTGACATGTCAAGCCTTTATGCCATCCCTGCAGGGATCCACAAGGAAAAGTCTGAGCCCAGCCATGTGGCTGAGATAACAACAAGGCATTGGTACGCACTCTTGCTTTCAAGGGCAGGTCAAAGTGGAAAGGGTGGAAACAGGCCTGTAAGGTTCTTCAGTTACATGCTGAAGCATGTTTACTCAGAGCCACGTCCCACTGAATTCAAGCAAGCAAGTGTGCAGAGGATTTCAGCCTAAGTGTCGTGGCTCCCACTCTTGGTACGCAGACTCTCGGAACAGGGATTCTTGAAGGCTTCACTCCACAAGCCAGTACATGGTTTAAACACAGATCAAGATACGGGTTCTGCAGTTCAGAAGCAGGGCTCTACAGGACAAAGGTGCAAG